TTATGGCATGAACTTTTTAAAAAGAATAATACTTTGCATACACTTAAAATGAATTTTTATATGTTCATTAAAACTCATCAGTAGCATACCTTTCTTGGTAACACTTTGTTAAAAATGTTATAATATTTGGGGTGTTAACTGTAATAAAACTGAATTTCTTAAAAACAGAAACAAGAATTGAGACTTTTTCCTGAATGGTCCCATATTTCTTATTGGCCTAGATTATTAAAATTGATTTGTAGTAATAGTAATTATTATGGGTCATATTGTATGTTAAACACACTCTCAGATTATCTCATTTAACCATCATCAATAACTCTATAAGATAAAGGCTATCTTTTTTTATTTTACAGACAAAAATACAAGTGAGGAAGGTGGATTAGCAAAGTTACAGTAAAAAAATATAAAATAAGTTGACTTTCTGAGTAAAAATTTTGAGTTTCAGATAAAAAAAAAAAAAAACTAGAGCAAAAACTCCTATTAGTAGAGAAGGAGAAAAGAAACATTCATACCGCTTTTTCCATGAAGTCAAATTCAGGAGCACAGGTGTATATTAAAGTATCAAAATCTGTATACCTTAATATTCTGGCTGCTATAAGATCACTCAGGTGAATCTGGGAGAAAATAAAGTAAAATGAATTAAAATTATACAAATGAGTATAGCCTATAGCCAGTAATACTTTATTGATGTAAGAATAACAAAACTTATAGACCAGATAAATCCAATATATTTAGACATCCCTCTAAGAAAACAAAAAACTACAGTGAACCAAATATACGATGTGCTGACTTCTCAAGCTAACTGAAAATAAAGAGAAATATCATGAAAAATGAAAAGTAGAAAGAAGTCAGAAAAAAATAAAGAGACGATAAAGAGTGAGTTAAAATCAATATCTGCTGAGAAGAAACCACCATGGAGTTAATTACCCTTTATAATAAGACAATTTATGATGAAAAAGTATTTTACTTAACCTTCTTTCAACATACATTGTAGGTCATAAGCTTTCTGTGCACTGTCATTTTCACAAAGCCTCACAGACTGATTACAATATTTGGTACTTCTTGATGTTTTACAGACATATATTTAAACCATTGAATATGAGACCTGATCCTCATAAGAATTACCACAAGTATACATACCACTTCGATCTTTGACTTAGCTATTTGATCTCTAAGGCTAAAAATAGATACCAACAACCAAACCCAATGCAGAACTTCTATTTTTCTACTGATTATTTACAACCTGCTCTTGGTGAGACAATTATTTTTCCACAGTATCCTCAGAAGGCCAGAAAAAGGAAAATATTTGGCAAGTCAACTCTTAATTCAAATTATTTTATAGGGATAGGAATTATTTTATAACAAGTTTGATGATTACGAGTGGTTTTCATTCAATTATTTTTCCTAATCTACCAGTACTCAAGGATAATTTAGAGTTGCACTTCATTTTTCTAATTTAGAGTAGGCCTGCTGACTAACAGTAATTTAACCAAACCACTATAATTTCAGGTCTTCCTCATAACTGTCACATAAAGGAAGTCACTCAGGACTACCAAGGAAGCATGTTTGTATTTTTTTTGTTTGTTTTTAATTTGTAGGGCAGGGATGGTGGTTCACACCTGTAATCCCAGCACTTTGGGAGGCCAAGGCAGGCAGATCGCTTGAGGTCAGGAGTTTGAGACCAGGCTGGGCAACATGCTGGAACCCCATCTCTACCAATAATACAAAAATTAGCCGGGCGTGGTGGCACGTGCCTATAATCTCAGCTACTCAGGAAGCTGAGGCACAAGAATTGCTTGAACCTGGGAGGTGGAGGTTGCAGTGACCCGAGATTGGCCACTGCACTCCAGCCTGGGTGACAGACTGAGACTGTGTTTCAAAAAAAAAAAGATTTGTAAAGAGCTGAGGGTCAATGTGAAGTAAGTGTGAAGTAAGGCAAGAAACATAATCATGAACAAACTTAACAGATAAATAAGTAACTTAGAAGGTTTAAATAAAGTTTATCATAAGACATATATAATAAAGTTAAAAACAATAAAAAGTAAAGGAGAATGGGGAAATATATCAGACATACCAGAGAACAGCAGCAACAAATAAACTAATAAACCACCATGCAAAGCTAGCAATAAATGGCAAATGCTTACATTTAGAAATTTTATGTAATATAAACATGTTGCATGTTATATAGAGATAGCATTTGACCTTTTAGAGAAGTAATACTATAACCCCTTGTCAAACTACATAATTTCAGCATCAAACAGGGCCCTAATTGGATAGCATTAAATGGGGTAAATTTCAAAATTGATTATTGTATGATATACTCATGTATGCTTATTTCTAAACAGAAAATGCTAGAAATAAAAAGTAGATTCATGCATTGTTTTCTATTACCTAAACCAGTTAGTTAAGCAGGGACTTAGGCCTTGAAAAGGGCTACTCTTTAAGACATTAACAAACAGAAATACCACATGAGAGAGAAATGTTCTGCATGTATTTCCTAGAAAATGAAAAGATCAAAAATTTTTAACATTCTCTTTTTATATAACAAGAAAGGCCTTAAAACATCAAATCATAAATTGATTTTAGTCCATAGTTATAAATACATAAAACAACACTGAGATTTTAAGAGTTCTGTATTTTCAAAGCTGAGGACAGCCTCCCATATGTTAACATCTGCAATAACATCATAAATGGATAACTTATGATGTAAACAACTAATTATTTCTATTTTAACTGAAATATAAACAAATAACTACTTAACAAACTATTAGTAATTTTTTCCTAAAAGGCCAAGTCAGCATTGATGAATATTCTTTCTTTTTAGTGGGTTGCAAAGATCACTGAACTTCAAGACTTTTGACTTGCAGTTATTGACTTATTGACTCTGCCAATAACTC